CTTTTTTTCTTTTTGCTTATGTGGTGCTGAGGAATCGAACCCAGGGCCTCAGGCATGCAAGGCAAGCGCTCTACCACTGAGCCACCTTCCCAGCCCCGCCTCCCTCAAGTTTTAAAGTTCATTTTCAACACAGTATCTTGTACATCTCATTGCTACAATGGGTCAACTTGTATCCTTGTTTCAGCATTTTGTTATTTTCCTTCTTCTCCCCAAATCAGAAAGATGTATATACAAGATGCAGAGCACCAAAATCAAATACAGTGAAAACAGGTTATACCATGGGGAAAGAATATACAAAAGAAACAAAAAAAGCACATATTACATTACAAAACAACAGCAACAAAGACAAAAACTCTTGTGTCCCTATCTTGGAATTCATTTCACTTAGCACCATCTTATATGGTCATATATGTATAGCTTTTGACCTTTCCTGCTTGTCTGGTAAGATTATCCTAGATGTAAACTAGTTATTGCAAATAAGAGAAACCATGGTACCTATTTTTCTTTGGGTCTGGCTTACTTCACTTAATGTAATTTTTTTCCCAAGTCTTTCCATTTCCTAACAAATGGGGCAGTATCACTCTTTATGATGGAGGCAAAGAGTTCCAGTGTGTGTGTGTGTGTGTGTGTGTGTGTGTGTGTTACATTTTCTTGATCCATTCATCAACTGAGGGGCATCTGGGTTGGTTCCATATCTTAGCTATGGTAAATAATGCTGCAAGAAACATAGTTGTGCCAATAGCTTTAGTATGGCCTTGCTTGTGATCACTTGGGTAAATGCCCAAAAGTGGGATTACTGGGTCATAGGGGAGCTCTATGGGGAATATTATGAGGAACCTCCATATTGCTTTCCAAAGTGATTGAACAAGTTTAGACTCCCACCAACAATGTAGTAGGGTTCCCTTTTGGCCACATCCCCTATAACAACAGGTTTACCTGCCTGTGAACTGAAGATAGAGATTTATCGTAAATGTTAAAAACACTAATCACATCAAAAGCCAAGCCTTCTTCTCAAAATGTAAAAGCTCTAATCTTCACTTGACAGAAACCAACCAACCACAATGGAGAAACAACTTTACATGCCCATTATAAAACCATCAGATTCATGTCAAGGTTTTATGGACTAGTCATTCAGAACACAGTGTTCCAGTACTAATGGTCCGTTCCATTTCTGGTTGGGAAGCTCCAAACTTGCCCAACAATGACATACCTTCACTTGAGTGATGGCAAAGAAATTGGAAAGAGCTACTAATAGCCAATGCTTGCAGTAATTTTTACACATAATAATAAACTAGGATTGTATGTCAACTATTCACGGCTCTACATGTTCACTAGTGGCTTTCATAGCTTTGTTAAATATTTGTGTTTTATATATGTGTGTGTGTGTATGCACACACACTTTTGTTTTATATATATACATATATGTAAATATATATATATATATATCTTATTCTCTTTATTAGTAGCCTTAAAAGTTTACTTTTATTTTAGTTTTTTTTCATTTAAGAGCATGCAGACATCTTCGCTGTAGAAGTGTAGATCAGTGTGTATTAATTTTAGCCTTACTGGGATCAAAACTACTCCTGGAGTTTTTCAAGCATCATGACAAACACACAGTTATTAACATATACATCAAGAGAATAGCAGTACAAGGAGAAAAAAAGCTTTTTAAAAAAAATTTTATATGTACAAAAGTATTTCAAATATTGTCAGATGCTGGCGGCGATAGCTAGCTACTCTGGAAGCTGAGATCTGAGGATCGTGATTCAAAACTAGACCAGGCAGAAAAGTCCATGAGACTGTTACCTCAACCAACCAGTAAAAAGCTAGAAGAGAAAGTGTGGCAGAAATGGTAAAGCAACAGACCTAAGCAAAAAAAGCTAAGCAAAAACACAAGGCTCTGAGTTCAAGCTCTAGTATAACACCAAAAAAAAAAAAAGATCTCAAATATAACTTACAAAAGATACTAAACTTACCAAATCCAGCAATATCTAAGACTCCAATGAAATAGGATGATGTTTCAAAAGGAAAACACTGGTTTACTCTGTTGACCACGTGGTCAAAAAGATGGCTATACACTGTCTTTGCCAGGGCATCACGGGCATTGTTTGCTTGCTCCACTTTCAAGGGAACCCTGTTAGAGAAAAAGACCACATCAATAAAAACTCCTTAAAACAACACATATGCAAATAATACAAATTTGCATATATATACAAATTGACAGATGCCTGAAGTCACAGTGGGCCTGAGTGTGTCCCTATGAAGGACTGGTTCTTGCCAATGGTGAGGGATGAGGAGGTAGTTGAAGTAGAGCCAAGAAGAAAAGTCCAAGAGAGAAACTAAAGGAATTATCTAGAATCCAGTCATCTAGAATCCAGTCAAGATCTGTTATTGGGCAAAAGAATCTTAGGCTTGAAAATGTTGTTGTTTTTAATTATTCTGGGGCTTAACGTCAGGGCCTAGGTGTTGTCCCTTAGCTTCTTTGTTCAAGGATGGCGCTGTACCACTTGAGCCATGCCTCCACTTCTGAAAAATCATTTTAACCTTAATTTATATTTCACTTGACATGATAAATTCTTAAGAATTAAGAAGTAATTAAGAATCAGGGTTATTCAGAGGAATAACCATCCTTTTGATTTTTTTTTATAAATGTGAAATGAACTGGATTTATTCAAGATAACTTGCAACTCTGGTGCTTTATTTTACCTTATTTAGGATTGTCCAACTTGCCCAGAAAGTAACTGCTCAGCACATTATTAGAAGGTGCAGACACAGATACAGCTGTTGTCCCTCAAGAAAATCAGTGCATAATGAAAGGAGATTGTAATAAAGCAGCTTTTCCACACACCGTGCTGAATCCTAGCATAATTATGACCACGGAGCAGGGGGCAAGCTCCAAGACCACAGGCAGGCTTGGAAGTCATTCATGTCAGTCTGATACTCGAACTCAAAATAGTCCTTTTTCAAGAATACACTCACTACCCAAGCTATGAAACTGTAACCCTCTGTATATCACCTTTAAAATAACCATTAAAATAAAATAAAATTTAAGTTTTTTAAATAGTCCTTTTTCTACTTACATGTCCTGTAATCTTTCCTGAAATGTGTGGACATACGACAGAGAAAGCATTTGAGCTGAAAGTATATGCACATGTAGGTACAATTCTAGTTCTTAATTGTTTATTTTTTAAATCTTAGTGAGATACTTATGATCATTTGTAATTTCTTCTAACATGAAGAATCTCAGGGTAAGGAGAAGCTCCTTTGGCTGAATATTTTACTCAAGTAAGTTCGACTTGGTAGAAGTTTTAGTACACGTCATTTGCATAGAAAATTACTTTTAAGGTAAATTGATATGTTGCCTGAAACAGTCAGAAAGTTATTTACATAATCAACTCATATTTCCACAGTCGTACAAAAGTAAACCTTTCTCTTCCCTTATAAATTCTGTTGCTGTCACATGTCTGTAGGGAATGGCTCTAAGCTATGCAAATCCTCATTAACATATGCACTGGCTTACTGCAGCCAGACTCCCAGAATTTTGATCTAGCCAGCAGAGCTTTCTGAATACTAAAATGAGAAGGCAGAAGCATGAGGATCCACCACCTTATAAATCTCAGTGGTCCCATTTCTCTCTCCCTGACAAACTGCAAGCTTGACTGCTGCAGGGCGGTTGGGAGACTTACTTTATAACTGTTCCTTTGGTGCCCCCTGCCGTTGTGAGCATGACTCTGGTGGTTAAACTCACTCGGAGGTCGTCCTGATCCAAACCCAGCAACTCCGCACAGTACTCCAGGGATGGCGCAGATTTACTCTTCAGATTACAGCCACCTAATCAAATCAATTTTAACTCCAAGTTAAAAAGCATTCTATAAGGCAGTCTCAAAACCTATTTCTTCGAATTATACGTCACTTACGTAAACCTGTGGAATAAAGTTCACTTGTAATTCCTGAATCCACTTGACTTTTTTCCCATCCTTGATGGGGACCACCCTCACCCCTATCCCTGGCAATCAAAATCAACAAGACGCGGTGGCTCAGGACAAATCCAGAGTGGCAGAGCACCTGTAATGACAGTTTCTGTCATTGTGTTGTGTTGTTGTTTTGTATTAGTACTGGGCATTATCCCTTAGCTATTTCTTTCAAGCTGGTGCCCTACCGTTTGGCAGAGCTCTACTCCTGCCTTTTTGATGGTTAATTAGAGACAAGAGTCTCAGGACTTTCCTGCCCAGGCTGGCTTGGAACTGTGATCCTCATATCTCAGCCTCCTGAGTGGCTAGGATTACAGGCATGAGCCACCAACTCCCAGCTCCTTAACCATGGTTTAACTGCTGTCAACCACAGTCTAAAAGTATTGGGTAGAAAATTCCAGAAGCAGGGGCTGGGAAGGTGGCTCAGTGGTAGAGCACTTGCCTTGCTTGCATGAGGCCCTGGGTTCGATTCCTCAACACCACATAAGGAAAAAAAAAAAAAGCTGGAAGTGGCGCTGTGGCTCAAGTGGTAGTATGCTAGCCTTGAGCTGAAGAGCTGAGGGACAGTGCCCAGGCCCAGAGTTCAGGCCCCATGACTGGACCCCCGCCCCAAAAAAAAAGAAAGAAAGAAAATTCCAGAAGCCAGCAGTCCATCACTGTGCTCTATGTGAAGGGCTTGCCATTCTGCAAAGGGTGTGAATCACCCCTCTTCTGAAGCCCACACGCAGAGCCACACGACTGCCCAGCCCTGGCACTGACAAACCTCGAATTCATCTATATGTTTCCTCTTCCTTACAAAATGTCCTACAAAAAAATTAATTTTTTTAGCTTAAATAGGCATAAGGTAGAAATGGAGCTATTTCAGGCAGTAGAGCACCAGCCTTGAGCAAAAAGAAGCTCATGGATAGCACCCAATCCCTGAGTTCGAGCACCAGGACCAACACAAAAAAAAAAAAAGAAAAGAAAAGAGAAAAAAAAGGGCTGAAAGCTATATAAAATAATTCTGGTTTCATGCAAAAACATTCCTCATTTTCTTAAATCTGTTATTTAATAACATACATTTTTGCTAAATGGAATCTAACATGGGCAGTTCTAAGAGGTGCTTTCTACAGTTTAACTGTGCAAAAATAAAAAATAAATTCTGACAGTCAAATTATTTATTGGAAATAAACTTTTCAATAAAATAATTGCAGTGGTTTTCTTTTTCCCCCAAATTGCCATGAAATGCCAAATTAAATTTGCTAATACAAGTGATCCTCACTTAGGTCTAAGGTAAGAGTCACAAAAGAGACAAAGACTCACAGAAAAAAACCTTAGCTACAAATATTAAAATAATCTAAGAGCTGAGGGTGTAGCTCAAGTGGTAGAGTTTGCTTAGCAAGTACAGGCCTTCAATTCAAATCTCAATACAGCCAAAAAAAAAGTCAATAAACTAAAAGATAACAGGTTCACTATCTTAATTAATTCACTGCCTCACTCCAATGTAATCCACATTCTTCTCATTTCCCCTACAATCAAAAGAACTTTGAGAATAAAAATGAGGAAAAGATGTGAACATGCACTATTTTCATTTTGAATATATAGTTCTCTCCAGCTATCGAGATAATAACTTATGATATCGTAAATGCTATGCCACTTGACATCTGCATGCTCCCTCACAGGACCAAAGATACCACACAGGAAAAAGCCACGGATCACCTCTCACATTCGCCAAGGTGTGGCTGATTATTCCGTGTGGTACTTCAACCCTGCCTCCTGTTCCCTTTGCATAACAAAGCTGCAGAGCAATATGCAAATTTTCAAAATTATTTTTCCAATTCCTCTAAAAAATACTCATGCAACATTTTAATGCACATTAAAAATATTTAAGTTTGCTTGAATCATTTGCATTTTAAATAGAAATTGTATATTTTATTTTGTATTTATTCACTTACATTTATCATGATTACAATTGTGTTCGAGTATTCAAAACATGTGGTAATTATTCAGCTCATCCATTCCCCTTTGCAACATTAAGGTAGAGCTATACTCTCAACCCTTTACAGAGGGAAAATTGAGATACAGGATGCAGAAGTTCTTTCCCAAGGTCACATCCTCAAGGTCACACATGCCCATAGCACTGTGGGGGAGGTGGGGGTCAAAGAACATGCACATGTGCACAATGCTCTGTTCTCACTGTATTGATTGCAAACAGCCCAGGACATTAAATCTGAAAGTCATTAGAGACTGTCTACTTTAGTCTGCTCATTCATAGATCACAAGGCTTGGTGGCCTGGGGGAAACAAGGGACAATTAACACAAGCTGCTGAGTTCATCAGACATGGATAGACCCAGCCTCTCACATCTAATAACCTCATTAGAATTATGTTCATTACATTAAATAATGATCACAGTCATTACTTCTGCATAGGTTCCATTGCAAAACAGACATAAAATCTCCTACCTCAATATTGTTACAAGGTTTCAATCAGGATAAGGATGTTCATGATAGAACGCACAATATGATACATCATACACATAGCTCATTTTTTTCCATTTTCAAGGCAGGGAGCAGTGCTAGGTATGAAACATGCTTAAGGAAACACTTCTACTCAGGTACAACTCTTATCACTGACTTTTTTTTTTTTGGTACCAGTACTAAGACTTGAACTCGAGGCCTGGGTGCTGCCTCTTAAGCTCTTTTTCTCAATAATGGTGCTCTATCACTTGTGCCACAGCCCCAATTCCAGCATTTTGGTGGTTAATTCAACATAAGAGTCTCAAGAGTTTTCCTGCATGATCTGGCTTTAAACCACGAGCCTCAGATCGCAGCCTCCCAAGTAACAAGGCTTACAGGCATGAACTACTGGCACCCAGCTTATCCAACTACTTTACTCCTGGATTCTACCAGCTTGGAAATGGCTAGCTAGGATCTGGAGTAGCTAGGATTCACAGTGTAAGCCTCTGGACTGACATATATACTGAAATAGCTCTTCCCTTCCTCTGTGCCCCTTTCCTCGCGCATATTGTTGAAGGTACTATACTCCCAAAGCACTTCTTATGGATGATTTCCTCTTGCAAATGAAGAAACCAAGGTTCAGAGAGCTCAGGGATCTGATGCAAAGGCTTATGTTGCTAACCACGAAGTCAGGTGGTCCTTCACACTCTTCTCAACTCAGCCTTGGTGTAAGATTCTAACAGAGTGCATTAATGCAGGAAAGGGATAATCGCTGACTTTATAGAGGCAAATAGTAAATACTGACATCATTACAGGACCTGTAATCTCTGCCCCAACACCCTTCTGCCACATGGAAACTGGCATAGATAATATTTCATTCACAAAAACAGACAGTGAGCCGGATCGGGCCCATGGGCCCCAGTGTGCCAAGCCATAACTATACCAAAGCTTTAATGCATATACAGGCTGAAAGACTATAGGTGAACAGTTACTGGCACTGGGCATTTAAAGGCTGTTCAGTTTCTCTAAGACTGACTATTTTCGTTGCTCACTGGTAAAGTCCATAGGTTTTTATGTATCAGCTTTCCTTAATGGAACTGACCCAGGTTTAGATCTATGGAACATGAACCAGAAAAGGTTCAAGTTCTCTATTAATGGCTATTTTTTTAAAAAAAAGTAAAGTGTTAGTTGGAAATTTTAACTAAATATAAACATAGGAGCAGTCAGTGAGTAACCTGCTTGGAATTTTAATGAAGATGCACATCACAGACTGGATTTTCATCCAAGAAATTAGAAAATTCCACCTGATACTATTCTTCTCTTTAAACACAAAGAAACCACCTGAAGTGCTGCCGGCTTCCTCAAAGTCAATGTTCCCAAGGTGCAACACGCCAGCCACCACTCGGAACAGATCGAGCTTTTCTTCATCACCCAAGCCAATTTTCTTCATGGCTGTGCACATGCGGATAAAATCTCCGTGGTCATCTAGGAGAGGGTCCTTCAGGGAACCAGCCTTCACATACTAGAAAACAAGAGGAGAGCCATCAACGGACTGTCATGTCTTTTGTGGAAACCCAAACCTCTACACCAGTCTATCAATGTCATACATAACATGCAAAAGTAAAATCCGTCCAAAGAGAAGCTGGAGTGTTCTAACACATCCTAAAACTGAGTGGCTGGGGGAAGGGGACACAGGATTTGGCCCTGCAATTTCTTACAACTACATGTGAATCTACAATCATTTCAATGGGAAGAATGGAGGCATTTTGCCATTCAAAGACGTTTTTAACTGCAAAGTCTTATGATTCCAGGATCTTAAAGATACAAATTGAATTTTGAAAATGGTCATAGTTGCAGTGAATCTATTCTCAGACCAAAAAGAACTAAGGGAGTGACAGATTTATTAACCTGATTTAATTATCCCACAACTGAGGAACCAACAGATTTAGTCCTCTGATTTAATTATCCCACCACATGTATGATACCAAATGTTTTTTAAATGCATGCAATTTTTTTCAGCTAAAAATAGGCAAACAAAAATCAGGTACAAATCATGATGAAGTTTTCATTCTGACAATTAGCAGGGCATTGTTTTAGGTTAGCCGCTTTCAGCTGCCCCATTGTTAAGCAGAAGTCAATGATGGATGGGGTGGCACAATTTTCAGGACCTGAAAGGTTATTTTCACTTTTCTGTGTATGTACATATGAAGTAAAGTACACTAGCAAGCACTGGTACACTTACTCTAGCAATTTATGCACTGACTCAAAACATGAGGAAAGGGGAGAAGAGAAAATTTGCATCTGAAGCACTCATTTGTTAGGACCTATAACAAACTCAGAAAAGGGAAAGAAGAAAGTTAGGGCTTCGGTAGCTAGTAGAGAAGCATAAAAGTTCCTGAACACAAAAGCTGGTCTAGGAAATTTTCCAGAACATGAGAATAAAGAAGGAAAGTCCAAATAATGAAACAACATCCTGAGGGCTAACAGGCATAAGTGTCACCTCTAGGAAATATTTTGTTCCCAGCTGAAGTCAGAACTCAATTCACAAAGTTCTTTAAAATGTTCCATTAAAATACAAAGTTTCTGGAAAATGTCTAGAAAATGAAATGCCATTTTATTCTTTAAAAAGCAGTAAAGGAAACAATCACATGCAGCCCAAGTTAACAGGAAATATGTATCATGCAGAATTTTTAGTCTCACAATTAAAGCCTGCTTCACTTAGAAATTAGTTTTAATCAAATGCTAGTGAATGCACTTGCTTTATGGCAGACTGAAAATACTGCATTCTCAAAAAAAAAATCACACAGAGTTGAAGGACAGTCAGTGAAAGGATTTAATCATCAAAATGATCACCTCATCTTCCTGATGAAGACATAAAAAAGTAATTTAAACACATTAATTCATTGTTCACCTGTAGACATGATACATGAACACATTCTGTCTCTTTTAATGTGAGTAACATTGTTGACACTAGTGAAAGGCATCCATGCTATCCTCTGGAGAGTAATCACCAGCTTTCTTTCCTTTCTATTCAGTTCTTTTTTGCTCGAGGCTAGTGATCTACCACTTGAGCCACAGCTCCACTTCCAGCTTTTTGCTGGCTAATTCAAAGTAAGTGTCTTGTGGGTCTAGCTGGCTAGCTTCAAACTACAGTCCTCAGATCTCAGCTTTCTGAATAGCTAGGATTACAGGTGTGAGCCACCAGTGCCAAGTCTAGGAAACAGTCTTAGCAAAGTACAGATAAAAACCATAATAAATACTAATGTTCCTTTGCAAAGATTTGATTATGGCTGTAACATGAAACTTATGACTTAAAATTCAGGCATTTATGTTTAAAAGGATATAAAATATCAAGTAAAGCAAGAATTAGCTGTGGGCTCATCTGCTTAGAATTTGACATAATTAGAATTTTGTTTGCTTTTTGTTTCTTTGATATGAATATATTTAATATATAAACAATTTCACGCTAATCTTAAAAGAGCCAAAATACCTGGTTCACATAAGTAGAATTAAAAACTATGACAAAAAATTGTTCAATTAAATATTTAATTTATCTTGACATTGAATGCTTGGTTTTCATAAAATCAATAGAGACTGGACTAATTATAATCATCTTGACTTAGTTTTCATAATGTGAGCCCTTATATAGACACAATACCACTTGCTACTGAAACACTATGCACTAAAATTTACAAAGTTGGAGATCTTTAAAGAGTGAATGACTTTTAAAAAATAATAATGCTATGATTACATCTAAATAATCCTAGGCATACTATAACAATTTATCAAGAACAATATGAAACAATATTTTACACTATATTACAGAAATAGTGTGTTTTAAAAAGCAATACTCTAATGTACAAGCATCCTTATATACAAATGCTTAATGAAACCCATTGTCTTCTTCAAACCCTACTTCAGTCTTGAAGTGCCTAATAAACTAAGAAAGTCTGCTGTGCAGACACCAGCAGAGGTGTATCAGTGGGAAGGAGACTTGCGCGACTATTTAGGGTCTTAAAACATCAGCTTATGAGTAAGAAATCCTACTGGGACTCCAAAATAAAGCATAATTTTTAAATTTACATTAGACATTTGAAGTGAAAACAGTCTACTATACCTCAGGACTTTTGCGATTCTGCAAAATCTGTTTGTCAGTTTCTTTGTTAGCAAAGTATCTGGTACAGCCACGGTTTAAGTACTGTGACAAAGAAATTTAAATTATAATTAGCTTATGTGATTCACAGGGAAGTAGCACAGCAAAAAAAAAAAAAAAAGCTCAGCTTGCCAAATAGTAGCAACCTTAAAGAATTTCTAAATATATTATCAGCATCAGTTCATCTCTCAGTTAAAATCAGGACTATTATTTTAAAAACACTGTATTCCTCCTGATCAAACCAGAGATATTAAAGTCCTAATACCTGAATGTAGTTTTAATAAAATGATTAAGATTTAAAAAATTGACACCATAATTTCCTACTTTAAAGGTCAATATTATTACATCGTTGTAGTATCAAACATCTTTTTAAAGATATAGCCCATTAAAGGGGTGGAGTTAGAAGGGATGGGGAGAATGATGAAAGGGGTGACACTGATCAAGACACATCGAATTCATAAGCTGCTTTGCTGGAGGGCAACTCGTTTATACAACCACTTAAAGATAATTAAAAAAAACAAACTAATGAAAGTAAAAAGGATCTATAGCCCATGGACATTAATCAAGATGCACTGCACTCATAAATTGATATGTTGAATTGAAACCCTTTTGTACAATTAAAGATAATAAAAAAATAAGTTAATAAAAATAAGATAAAAATAAAAAATGACTCCAAACTTAAGTATTAGAAACAATCATGGAAATCACCTTTCTACTGAATCTGTGGAATCACTGTGGCTAATTATTTTGAGTAATATTTTGAATTCTGAACAATTATGAAATAATATCCTGGGGCTGGGAATGTGACTTAGTGGTAGAGTGCTTGCCTAGCATGCATGAAACCCTGGGTTCAATTCCTCAATACTACATAAACAGAAAAGGCCGGAAATGGCGCTGTGGCTCAAGTGGTAGAGTGCTAGCCATGAGCAAAAGAAGCTCAGGGACAGTGCCCAGGCCCTGAGTTCAAGCCCCAGGACTAGCCAAAAAAAAAAGTAAGTAATATACTTCCAGAAAATGGAAAATGGAAACACGGGGGGGGGGGGTTGTTGCTATTATTGGTGGTGGGGTGGTATTTGTTTTTGCTTTTTATCCCCCTCTTAGGGGGAGGGAGCACAGAAAGGGAGGGAGAAGGATGAACAAATGCAATTGTGCTATTCAGTATATATTATATGAAAAATGACCTATGTAACTTGTGGGCAGGGAAAGGAGGAAGAAACTATGGGAAAGCAAAGGAACGGGTGACATTGTCCAAAAACAGACATGTACTCATCACCTGACTTACAAAATGATAACCTCTCTGTAGAACACCTTAATAATAACAATAAAATTATTTTTTTAAAGAAGTTTGCTTTTCCTAAGCTCTAATTTTTTTTTCCAGGGCTGAGGACCGAACCCAGGGCCTTGAGCGTGCCGGGCGGGCGCCCTTCTGCTGGGCTAAACCCCCAGCCCCCTAATATCTAATTTTTAAACTTAGTTCCTCAATATAATGACTTCCATCGTCATGTGCAGCAGTGTTACCACTGTAAATTATACATAGTACCATACTTGTTCTATGCAATGAATCATTTCAGCATTCCTGTCTCCAAATTTAATGCTGTTTCCCAGAAGCATCATAAAACCTCAGTGCACAAGCCAGGGAGACAGCGGAGCAGAGGGCACTCACTTTGCTGTGCACAGATTAAAAACAACAAAGAAAACAGCGACATATACATCCTTTCTCTCCATGATGCCTTCTTCTAGACAGCCTCAGCTACTCACTCCCATGGTGTAACCATCACCAGAGTACCGAAGCCTCCCAAACCTCCTCCTCCAGCATGGTGCTGATCTGGAGAGAGTGGTCCCCACTGTCTTCTAGTTGTCTGCACTGAAATGATCCGCAAGCTCAAACTAGCCATTGTCCACGCTACAACCATATGCCTGGCTCCCACAACAATATCCACCGAGTGACCACAGTCACATCTTTGAACATCACTATAGACTTTCTTTCTGCTATAGTCAGTCTAATTCCACCTTCTAATACTTTGTATTAATTTCTAATTTTTCCCCTCCTCTGATAACTATGTCATCCATGAGCCAAATCAGGCACTTTAGTAACTCTTCTACCACCGCTATAGGCTTCTAAGCAATCTGCCTATGTTTTTCAATGTCTACCCATCCTCCTACACATACCTTAAAGCCAACCTCCAAATAAAGCCAGAAAAGCACGATTCTGAGACTTAACTTTCTACTTAAATCCCTCTAATAGCTCTCTAGTCTCCATCTTGCCACTTCCTGTTACATCCTTTGAGATGCTTCTTTCCTCTCTTTATTCATCCTTTCCATCTACCATGGGAAAAAATACATCTTTCTTTAGCTAGCCAACTAACACTTGACATACTTCAGGATTCTTACCAAGTTACTCAAGTCTTCCTTCAGCCAAACCTTTCAAACTCCCCAAGTGCCACAGGATCTGAGGCGTGTCTGCTCCAGGCAGATCTAGTCTAGGTATATCTCTCCTTATTATTCAACCTGTCAAACTGTGCAGTTCCTGTCACCTTCTAAGATGCTCAGGAACAGATCTTTTGTCTTATTTATCTTATTTGTCTTTTTTAACCCTAGCACAATGTCCAGGAAGTAAGCAATAACTATTTGTTGTTTAATTGAAGAATATAATCATGTGGCCAGCATTTACAAACTCAACAATTTGCCTCAATAGAGGCATCTGCATATCAGTATTGTGATCATTCTGACACCTATATGGCCATCCTCAGTGTCTCTAGGGAGCTGGCTCCTTGACCTCCTAGGGATAGGACATCAAAACCTGTAGATGCTCCTGCCACAAAACAGCATGGCACTTGACATACCCCATCCTGTCCTCTCTTATGCACCAAATCCCCTCTCAATTACTTGCAATTGACACAGTGTTAATGCTATGTAGAGCACTGCTAACATTTACTGTTTGGGGAAGTCACCCTCAGTACACATACATAATTTTTTCATCGTTTAGGACTGAAGGCAATTCAATTTTCAAAGCTTAAGTGAAATTTCTTTTCTTCCAACCTACCCTGAAATTATCTGGAGAGCTCAAATGAAGTTTTTCCCTAATATCTTCAGAAGCACCAGCGCACAACCTGTAAAAGATATGGTAATTCCTTTCTTCTTTGCCTTGAACACAGATCCTAGATTTCTCCAGAAGATAATGTGAAACAAATCCTCCAACAACTGAACTCTAAAAAACAAAATTAAGAGAAAATATATTTTTTGCATTTAAAGGTGAAGTATAAGTTAATTATGCTAAATGTTCCTAACAAATGTGTTTACCAAAGAAGTCATAATATTCATCAAATACAGAAGCAAAAAACAATCAGCCAGACACCTGTGGCTCCTGCCTGTAATCCTAGCTACTAGAGAGGCTGGGAGCTGAGGATGGATATTCAAAGCCAGCTCAGACAAGAAAGTTCATGAGACTCTAGTCTCCAATTAACCATCAAAAAGCCAGAAGTGGTGCTGTGGTTCAAGTGGTAGTGTGCTAGCCTACAGTAAAACAAAAAACTAAAGGGACAGAACCCAGGACCTGAGTTTAAGTCTCAGTACTGGAAAAACAGAAAAACAGACAACTGACTAACTTTGAGTCTCACAGATGTCATCTTTCATTTTAAATATCTTTATAACCTGGGCACTGGTGGCTCACGCCTATAATCCTAGCAACTCAGGAGGTTGACATCTGAGGATCACAGGTCAAAGGAAGCCCAGGCAGAAAAGTCCACAAGAATCTTACCTCCAATAAACTACCAGAAAACTGGAAGTGGAGCTGTGGCTCAAAATGGTAGAGCAAGGCTAGTCTTTAGCAGAAAAGTTCAGGGATAGTGCCCAGGCCCTGAGTTCAAGCCCCATGATCTACCCCCCAAAAAAAATCTTTTTAAGTCTCTACCTAGATCTAAGTTTTGAGCCTCAGTGGATCAGAACTGACTTTACACTGTGCTTCAGTGATGGTATCTACAATAATCTATTATACAGTCTGAAAAGACAGGAGCTCAAAGGCTCCAAATGTAAACATACATAGAAGATGAAAATTATCAATTTCACTGACTTGGTCAGTGTATACTCTATGTATGTGTGTGTATATATACTTGTATATATGCTAAAATAGCATACTATATAGACCATGATTATGGACAACTGATGCATGGCAATCAAGACAAAGAATAAATTATACAGTTATAATAAATTATAAAGTTTCAGCTCCAGTAAATACAGTATTCAATAGGTTATAAATTGTGAAAAGTGCTTTTGGTCAGAGTATATACATATGTGTGTGTGTGTGTGTGTGTGTGTGTGTGTGTGTATGTATATATATATATATATATGTATGTATGTATGTATATATATTCTCCTATATAAAATAACAAAGAAGCTAGGTGTGTAGTATATGTAGTATATGTAGTAAACACAGCACTCAAAAGACTGAGGCAGGAGGATCACAAGCTCAAGGCCAGCCTGGGATACAGGACAAACAAACACACACACACACACACACACACACACACAATTTACCATAAGTCCAAATACAGCATCAATTTTACTAAAACCCTGTGTTTTTACACACTCCCCAAGCATATCCCAAAAGTCACTTGCACTCACCTTTTCATTGAAATGAATTTCTACAAATTTTCCAAATCGACTGCTATTATTGTTGCGAACGGTCTTTGCATTTCCAAAGGCTTCTAAGAGTGGATTAGCTATTAAGAAAGGAAAATATCTCATGAAGAAAATGAGTGTGGAAAAAGGATACAAAACAGCATGGAGAGTATGTCTCCACAGGGGGAAAAATGTTAGAAAAAGTGCTATAATAAATGGCCACAAAAATATTAACATAATCTATCAAATGATGTCAAATAAATATTTAATAGTTACTCACTGTGTTCAAGTACTACTCAAGTGATATAAAAAGGAAATATAAATGTTCAGGAAAAAACTTCAAAAAGTCACTGGATTACAAAGTTTAAATACAGTGTTAAAAGTTACTCCTACAATGCTAATTAAAAATTAATTTTTGGACTGGGAATGTGACTTAGTGATAGAGTGCTTGCCTAGCCTGCATGAAGCCCTTTCAATTCCTCACTACTACATAAACAGAAAAGGCCGGAAGTAGCGCTGTGGCTCAAGTGGTATAGTGCTAGCCTCGAGCAAAAGAAGCTCAGGGACAGTGTCTAGGACTTGAGTTCAAACCCCAGGACCAGCAATAAATAAATAAATAAATAAATCCCCCTTAATGACTGCACAAGTTAAGGATATCAGCAAATTGATGAGCTTCTAAAATTAAAAACTAATAAATCACTCTTAGGATGTTCAATGTTTTAACAAGTACACCATCTCTCTGAGAATAATGAATATAATAGATAAAACAACAAAGTTCTTAGAAAAAATGCAGGTAAGAAAGTTACTGTTTGACTTACTTTTCTAAAATATGCTGTATTTTAATTTAACCTCCAGATTAAACACGTCATAGGGGCATCTGATGGGGGTTAGCAAAGTAAGAGTTTATGCAACTACATGATAAAAGCATTCAGAATAATAGTTTTCAGGACTGGGGTGCGACTCAAGTGGCAGATTGCCTAGCACACTTGAGACTCTGAGTTCCAACCTCAATACTGACTGTCCCCCAAAAAGCAACTATTTTTTAAATCCCTTTGATGAAATACAACATTTTAATTACTACTGTATAATCATATACATACACACTTCATGACTGGATATTAGATTCTATTCTTGGGACTGGTAGAGCACTAAACCAATGAGTGAAAGTATCAGGTACTGAGTTTAAGTCTTGAACACCCCCCCCAAAAAAAAACTGAATCAAATCTATTCTTGTACTCACCGAAGTCTCAGTTATAAACACACCAGCTTAATGATAATCTTAAAGATTCTTCGGCCATAAACATAAAAAAAAGTTTCATCATATTTATAGTCAGAGTGTTTCGTGTAAAAAAATCCACAGTAGAAAGTCAAACTAGCCTTAAAATCCTCTTAAAGATAAATCTCCATTTATTTCACTTGCTAAAAGAAATAAATGATTAAAACTAAAGAGTATCCTATGTTCTTTGCTTTTCAGATGACAAGAAAACTGAGGCAAACAAGCTGAATGGACTTCTAGAAGCCCAGATGACCAGCCACTGACCAAAGGGGGCTCCATTACAACTCTCTTACTAGTAATTTACTGAATAATTTTTTTAAAAGTTAATAGAAATAAAATAATAGGATAATGACCTCTGAACCACACAGTCATATTTGTGCTTTTAGTAATATAGTCATTTTTGAACCAACAACCACCTTTCCATAGAGTACCAGTGCTCCCCTAGCTCTCCAGTTACAGGGGCTGGGAGCTTTGGAATGATCGCTCCAGGAATGATCGCTTCCCTCAACTGGAGCTCACTGTACCCACCAGGCTCACTGCCATGGAAGAAACTGGGCGGGGCTCCAATTCCCCAGGGAGTCTGCAGCCCAAGTAAATAAGCCAGAATACTAATTAGTATTTTTTTAATTAACCCATGGTTTATCTTTCCTATTAATTACTTATTCTGTTTTTAAAAGTTACAACACTGGAAGGCAAAGCGAAGAAGGAGAGAGTGTAGACCTCAAAGACCTGCGGGAAAACCAACAGGGCTAAGGCATAGAAGTGAGAGAAAACAGGGGCAAGGTTAGACAGGAAGAGGTGGGAGCCAAGCCTCACAGAGCAGCCTGGCTGGCCTCGTGGCCTTGGAGCACTATCAGGAGGGCGATACAGAACAGATTTAAACCAACAATGACAGCCCTACTTCCCTGCAGGAGGAGCGCGTCTGTGAGGGAGGACACCAGACAGGGCCCATAGCACCCAGGAGGTACAGATTCAACAAGCTGTCAGCACAGAGCAGCAGCTCCAGACAGGTACAAGCACTTTCACAGGGGTGAGACAGCGACAGAGCATCGGGAGTCAACTCGCACTCCTGCCTTCTGAGATGGTATTTTGTTACAATAAGTCGTCTCCCAGAAAAAGCACTTTAATATAAAATAACTCTTCTTTCCTTCTCTACAGAACACACAGTTAAGAAAATAAACAGGAAGATAGTTTCCTATACTTTTTCTTTCAGTCTTTACACTTTATTCAAGGCCTTAATTTTAGGGGTTTGGATATGAAATCGAAATCCTTAACCCCTTCCTTCTTAGTGCCTACATGGTACAGGGTGGCTGGAGAGATAATGTGTGTTGAGTAAGCAAAAAATTATATCTAGCCAGGTTCTGGTGGCTCAAACCTATAAGCCCAGTTACTGAGAGAAGGCTGAGATCTGAGGATAGCAGTTCAAAGCTAGCCATAGCAGGCAAATCTGAGAAATTCTTAACAATTTACCAGCAAAAAAACTAGAAATGCAAGTGTGGTTCAAGTGGTAGAATGCCAGCCTTGAGTCAAAAAAGCTAAGCAAGGGCAGGAATCCTTAAAATCAATCCCAGTGACAACATGTGCACACACACTACACAAACACACAACCATGTGTGCGCATGCACCTAGGCACACAAACATGTAGACACACACACTACAGATACTTCTAAGTTAATTTTATTATGCTCCTAACAATAAAAAAATAAAAACTGGCAATACCTTCAACAATTCTATCATCAATATCTTGACCTGTTCCGTATGATTCTGTCAGGTATCTATTTAAAATACAAGATTAAAAAATATTAAATCATGAAAATATTGCATATAGTATATTCCAATTTTAATGTCATTTAATACATGGAAAGTGGAAAACAAAACCATCATTATAGCTTTAAAAATTACAAATTTATGTTCCAATGTAATTATCCTGTTACAGGTTTGAAATTATTCTTAAAAGTTTCAAACTCAGGAGCTGGGAAGGTGGCTCAGTGGTAAAGCATTTGCCTTGCATGCCTGAGGCCCTGGGTTCGATTCCCCAGCACCACATAAGAAAAAAGAAAAAAAGCCAGAAGTGGCACTGTGGCTCAAGTGGTAGAGCGCTAGCCTTGAGCTGAAGAGCTGAGGGACAGCGCCCAGGCCCAGAGTTCAGGCCCCACGACCGGACCAAAAAAAAAAAATTGTTTTTTAAATTTAAAAAAAGTTTCAAACTCAGAAACCCTGAGACCAGATTGTCCACTGGGCCTCTGGAGTTTGAAGGAACATTTCCTGTTGGCCTAGCCAGTATAAGCCTCTGCTAGGGTCTTCATGGAAATAACATGTCAGAGCTGGCATTCAACAACCTACAAATTTGCTTCCTAAAAATGGTAGAATGTAGCCACACACAGGTGGCTCACACCTGTCATCCTAGTTACTCAGAATGCTGAGATCTGAGCATCACAGTTTGAAGCCAGCCCAGCCAGGAAAGTCCATGAGATTCTTATCTCCAATTAACCACCAAAAAGTCAGATGTAAAGCTGTGGGTCAAATGGTAGACCACTAGCTTTGAGCAAAAAATATAAAAATAAAAAAGCTCAGGAACAGAACCGCGAGTTCAAGTCCCAGGACTGACACACACAAAAAAAATCGTTCTAAAGTATGCAGTGCTGGCACCAGTGGTTCATGCCTATAATCCTAGCTACTCTGGAGGCTGAAATCTGAGGATTGCAGTTTGAAGCCAGCCCAGGTAGAAAAGTCCCAGCGAGGCTCTTATCTCCAATAAACCACTCAAAAACCAGAAGTGGCACTGTGACTCAAGTGGTAGATCACTAGCCTTGAGTACAAAGAGGCTCAGGGAGAGCACCCAGGCCCTGAGTTCAAGCCCCACAACCACAAAAAAAAAGTGCTCTAAATTATGCAAAGGTATTAAAAACTCAATCTATTCAAATTTTCAGAGTTATTTGTGCTTCCATAACTGTAGTATTCACAGTAGCCAAGATATAGAAATAATATAAGTAATTGCTAACAAATCCATGGGTAAACAAAATGTAGTCTATAAATATAAGGGAGTGTTCCTCAACCGTTAGAATGTAGGGAGGAAATTAGCATATGTAGTACAACACAGGAAAATCCTTTTTTTTTCCTTAACTGCACAGCTCATCCCAAGTAGCTGGGACTATAGGCATATGCCACTTTGATCAGCTCAAACACAAGTGAACTGTATTTGGAGTCACATAAAATAATAATCTTAAAACATAAGTACTCTATGATTCTACTTACAGGAGGCAATGGGAGTAATTAAACTGATAGAAACTGAAAAACAAGAGCCTGGAGCAAGTGGATAAAGGGAGAAAACTGTTAAATGGGAACATAGGATCTGTTTACAGGAGGAAAATACACGTGCAACCTGTCAGCACAGCAATGGGAATCTGCTTAATATTACTAAACTGTGCACCAGAAAAGACCTAATGGGGAAAATTTTGTGTTATGCAATTTTTTTTTTTTACCACTGAAACAATGTCAGCCTGTTTGAATTATGTCAGGTTAGCTGGTAACTCACCTAAGAACAAATTTTGTGTTTTCTGTTTTGCCAGCTCCGGATTCTCCAGACACAATGATGGACTGGCTCATCTTGAGCACCTTCATGTCTCGGAAGGCCTTGTCAGCTGCAGGGAAACACACACTGTGAGGGAAGCATAGCTGTGAAGGGAAGGAAGTTCACTTCCGGAGCCCTGGTTTCTAATGAAATCATAAATACATGCTAATGGTTAGTGCAAACTCAACAGAAAGTCGTCACAATGTGTTCACAATGTTTCTGAAGGTATTTACTTTCAATGTTCTGCTTTCCTAACAGCTAGCTAATACGAAATCCAGATAAGCAACTCCTGACTTAGTGCCAGAATATCTCCATTTTTAGGAGCTGTGGCTCAACTCTCCCTAATACCAGAGCAGATCAGCAGAGGGATTTAAAAAAATGCTCTCAATGCACAGCTAATGAGGTCCCCAGTGAAAAATAAATAATGAGCTTCCAATTAAGAAATCTGGCAACCAAAAATTCTGCTGGAGGAAACAAACAACACATGATGACAAAATTCTCTGGGTGTTTTCCTTGTAAAACTATTAAATTTAAATATCTTGTAGAATATATCAGCATTTCAAAGGTAGGAAAAATTGATTCCTTTAAATTTTCTTGATTTGTAATTTGTATAATTTTTTTTCAGTCATTGGGCTTGACTCGGGCTTGAACCCTGTCCCTGAGTTCTTTCATTAAAGGCTAGTGCTCTATCACTTTGAGCCACAGTGCCACTTCTGGTTTTCTGGTAGGTCACTGAAGGTAAGAGTCTCTTGGACTTTCCTACCTGGGCTGGCTTCAAACCACAATCCTTCTATCTCAGCCTCCTGAGCAGCTGGGATTACAGGCATGAGCCACCAGCAGCCAGCCAGGATCAGAATTCTGGCTTTGTATACAATTTTAAATTATCTCCCTTACGCTCCAACAATTTAAGCTATAAACTTTTAAGACAACAACAAAGAAGAGTTTAAATCTGTCTAAGTGATTTAAAATTTTAGATACTTCTACATCAAAATTAGTTCCTAACCTCTACAGCTTAATTAGACAGCTATTTCTCATCTCAAATGTGTGCTACCCATGAATTAATACCAGTGAATAGCAATATGCCACACCCTTGGTTATTGCTAAGGGCAGAATTTGAGCCAAATGCCATGGTTTGGACATAGACCCCGTGGGTCCGACAGAAGCCTCTGTCTGCAGAGTGGAACTGTCTGGAGAGGGCGAAGCCTTGCAAGGTGACAGAAGGAGAGGCCGCTGGGTCAGCACATGTCCTGGTGAAGGTAGCTCCTGTGCCTTCACAGCAACCCTTGACTTCTCACGAGACAGTTGTCAGCAGATGAACACGTCCGCCTGTCCTCTCTCTGCTCCTGGTCTGGGATGTACTGGCTTCTTCAAACCACTGGTTCAGCTGCTCAGAGGAATGGCCCACATCACAGAGCCTGTGCTATGTCTTTTGGACTCAGAATCTCCAAAACTATGAGCTCAATAAAGCCTTTCTTCTTCATAAGTAGCCTATGCCAGTTATTTCATTACAGCAATGCAAAACTAACTAAAATACCATAGGCCAGAAGACACTTATCTTTCGTCCAATTTATCAGCAACTTGTTCTGTGCACTTTTACTGAACTATTCGAAATACTTCTTAGCAATAAAAGGCTAAAAAAGTAGAAGCTGCTTTAATGGCCTTTTTAACATGTAACTTATCTTCAGTGATGTGCTTGTTCATATTCAGGTTTTAAAAATTGCAGGCTGAGAACAACATTTTCATCACAGAGCCAAATGTAAGTCACATTGGCATCACAGAGCCAACTGTAAGTCAGGGTTGCAGAGCAAACACATCAACCAAATCTGAAAGTGAAGCCTGGCTGGGCCTAGAGTGAAACGGACTGCACTTACACCAACATCAAGCGTGGCGGACAGCAGTTGCTTGTGTCTGTTTGCAAAGGAGCTGGCTAACCCCCTACCTTGGTAGAAGTGATGTGGGATGTAATTTCTATTTATGATCAAATTAATGTGTGTCTCAGAGCTGAAGGGCTTCAGCTTTGAAGAAGGCTGAAAAAAACTCAACAGAGACATTGTTTTCTTGCACAGATTCTTCAGAGACAGGAAACTAGCACTTCCCATCTTTTAGTTTTATAAAGCTCTGATGCCAGGAGAACTGAGGGAAGAGGTCTGCTCTCACAGCTCAAATGTGACCAACGTGGCCTCACACGTGGCCAGGCGTGGCCTCAAACTGGGAAGAACACTACTAAGGTGGAGCAGCCATCTCAAGGAGTCAGTGAGTATCATTTTCCAAGCCAGTGTCAGTGGTTCATGTTTATAATCTCAGGAGGCTGAGATCTGAGGATCATGGCTCAAAGCTTCCAAAAAGTGAGAAGTGGAGTTGTGGTAGCCTTGTATAAAAAATTGAGGGACAGAGCCCAGGGCCTGAGTTCAAGCCCTAGGATTGGCACAAAACTAAGTACCATTTTCCTACTTTCAGCGGTACAGCCACACCCAAGAGGACACAGGCATTTTCCAAAGACAACGTGACGGATGAGCTGGCCGCAGAATCCGTTCCACCTGCTTAGGATGCCTGCTCCTAACAATGCTGACACTGCAACAAGGACACGGATCTTCCAAAAGGTCAGTTCAATCCAGAGCACTCCCTCATTAGCCCAAGAGAAAAACTAAGTAAATCTGAAGGACATAAAGACAAGGATTAAAATATAGTTAAATCACTTACCAATGGCAAAGACATGAGGTGGCATTGTGCCAAGAGATTTTCCTTGATATGACTTTATTGTATCTGAAGAATAGATTTTAGGTATATCGAAGTATGGATTTACTGCAATCAGAATGTTGGCAACATACGTCTACACAGAAAACAGAAACATGGAATTTCCTGGTTACTACTTTCTTTTAAAAACGGAGCAAGGCTAATGGAAGAAAATAAATATGCACCAAACAGATACTTGCAATTCTCTCTACAGTCAGGAAGCCACAATCTGCATTGCCAGCTCCAACTCTTCCCTAACCTTACAGGAGCCATTATTTCTCTAATTCCTAATAAATATTTTGTAAATATAAAATACATATATATATATAAATATATTTAGCATTCCACAAGTGTCTCAGAGTCAGCAAATGCAAAATCAAGTTACTCCTTCCTTCCTTCCTTCTTTCGGCTATCTCAGAAGAATCATGCTACTCCCACATATGCTCCCAAGTAAAGGGACCACGGACAGAAATCTGAGTTTCTAGCCCTCTCTACCTCAATTAGGCTGTGTCTGTTGACTCCATTTATGGAATCTACTTCTTCCCTTATTCTGTTCCTATAACTGAGTCTCAGTCATCTGCATAGATTCTCACATAGCCTACTTCCCCTGCTACTGAAGGCCTGGTTAGAAGTTACAGCTTCTCTGGCCCCATCTCTATCAGTGAATACTAAGTGGTGATTTAGCTCTTTGGTGATTACTTGGCCTCAGAGTTCTGCAAAACAACATATGCTACCCATTGATGGGCCCCAAGAGCAACTCTAAGTTTTCTTTTAAATTCTGGAATTTAACTGTGGCTTTAAAAGGTCAGGAAAATTCACTAGGCAGATTTATAAAATTCCTAGTTGTGGTTCAGTAATACTGACAAAACTAGGACACACAAGGTCATTGTTTTCCTCTTTTCTGTTTCTAATTGTGGAAAAGAAATGTTGTAGAAATACTGAAGTCTCAGACTATTAATGTAGAAATGTAAAAGACATTCCCAAAATTGTTTCCTGGAATAAAAAATTAAAAATTTCAGATTATGACTTTTCTAGCAAAGACAAAGAGTCAAAGATATTAGTAATCATAAAAATACTAAATGTGGCCAGGTGCCAAAAGCTCACACTTGTAATCCTAACTACTCAGGAGGCTGAGATCTGAGGATCATGGTTCAAAGCCAGCTAAGGCAGGAAAGTGAGGTTCTTATTTCCAATTAAGTACAAGCTGGAAGTGGAGCTGTAGCTCAAGAGGTAGAAAAAAAAGCTCAGGGACAGTGCCCAGGCCCTGAGGTCAAACCCCAGGACTGGCACACGCGCACACACACACACAAATATATACATATACATATATATTATATGTGTCTCTCTCTATATGTATATGAGTTAGCTGTTGTTTCATTCAATCTAAGAGAGACTAATGATAACTGATTAACAAGAAACAACAAATTCAAACTACTATTCTACATTGCTTCCTTCACTTATATTAATTATACAATTGTAAATTGTCTCCATTTACATATAATAAAACAGTTCTGTTTATGTATTACTCACATTTACTAGTTTTATGATTAAAAAGCATAATTTGCTGGGGAGAAACCATACCAACCATAACAGAAACTATGAAGATACTGATTCTCCAGTTCTACTTGGAAGATGACATTGGCATTTCCTGGTTATATCCAAATTAACTTACATTGATTTATTACAAACTAAACTGCTTTAAAACTCCAAACTTTGTATTAATTCAGTTTCTAAACTAGCATTTAGCTCACATTAGAATCCACTCAACATGAAATTGCTGATTGAATGTTGCTTTTAAATATATTTCCTCTCAAGAACACCAATATGTAAACCTGAATGTACTCTTTATTTTGTTGGCTTTGAAAAAAAAATCAAAGAGAAAAGCAAAGTGTTAATGCTGTGCATAAGCAGAAGATGGCAAGTAAACTCTCTTGGAACAGACTAGTTCTATTTCCCAGCTGTCAGTACTTGGACAGATGGCAAAGACTAAATGTAATTTAGTCAGAATTAAGTAAGTACAATTAGACAGATTGAGAGTGATATAAAAGATTAAGGATGTCATTTGATCTAGTTAGTGTCAAGAAGCCATTGCTTTCTTCGTTCAAAAATAATGAAGAGTCCCATCTTTATAACAGGAGAATGATATAGAGGTAATTTATCTCCATCCAGCAAGGGAATCTATGAATAGGTGATAGGAGAATAAAATTTTGGACATGACCAATAAATGATTATGATTAAAACACAGTACAAACATAATCAAATATAGTTTAGTATCCATTTCAATAGTGCTTGTGTTAAAAACATTATCAGCCCAGATTCCCCTCAATGGAGGAAAAGATCAAGAAAATATGATATACATACATATTTGTGCATTAGAAAGAATAATATTTGTATCATTTGCAAACAAACCTGGAAAAATTATGTTAGGTGAAGTAAATTAGGCTGAGAGAGTCAAAGGGTGAACGTTTTTCTCATATGTGGAACCTAGAATTATTTTATAAATATGTAAGTAAACACTTTGGGGTGGCATGCAAGGGCACATAAGTGTATTAACTGAAATATGGTAGATTCAGGGGATAACTCAAATGGTACAATTGCTGAGAAGGCTAACTCACACAGTCCAACAAAATGTGTACCAGGAAATGGATACGCAAAAGCAGGAGTGGGATAAGGAGAGAGGGGTAGACAAATAACGAGAGAAAGGGAAGAGAAGTCAGCCATAAAATTCAAGGCATATCCTACAAAATTAAGGAAATTGAAGGAAGGGGTGGGCTAGGAGGGATGGGGGAGAATGGTGAAAGGAGTGACATGGATCAAGACACATGAATTATAAACTGCTTTTGTCGAATGGCAACTCCTTTGTACAACTATTGGAAGATAATTTTTTTTAATTTTTTATTGTAAAGATACTATACAGAGGGTTACAGTTACATGAGTAAGGTAATGAGTACACTTCCTATTGAGCATTGTTACCCCTTCCATTGTTGGAAGATAATTTTTAAAAAGCATGATCTTTCTTTTTTGTAATAGTCTATACTTTCAAGGTACAGTATCTCTAGGACCTAACAAATATTTCCTCAGATATTGCCTTCTATCCTAATTTGTATATTTTTCCTCATTCAAATTTAATTTAACATATATTCTTCAGAGGCTAACTTAAATTCTCTCTAAAACAACATGAAAAATTATATTTAAACAAAAAATTTATTGAAATAAACCAGAAGTAAGAAGTCAAAACACAAGATGATGGTATTTTTTAAGGCACTAAAATTAAACATTTTCAAGCCTGAAAGCTATTACACGATGATCTGAGTTCCCTATTTCCCTGCACAGCTACTTAACTCAGTGCCCTCTCTGTACTTGGCCTTGCTCTGTGCCCTGGAGGTATAGCAATAAATGGGGGAGAAAAGAGAAAATAAATCTTCACAGACAATATGCTTTTCATTGTGCTCAGATTACATGTGGTCTCCTTTTGCAAAATTCCAAAGCTAACAAAATCATGTAAATCCATTATCCCCACAAAAACACGATCCACGGTTCACATACTTACATAGATTCTATCTTTACTATATCGAACTTTGATATTATGGAGGAGTGTGGCTTCATTTAAGTACATTAGAGAACCTAAGACATAAGAATACATAAAGCATTAGATGAAAATGCAAAAACAGTTAAGATAAAAACAATATATTGACCTCATTGTAATCACTTAGGCCCGAGCTGAAATTTACTTGTTAGGTTTGATTGGATTCCATCTTCTTGAAACTCAGGTACAGCTGAGTGTTGGTGACTCATACCTGTAATCCTAGCTATTCAGGAGGCTGAGATCTGAGGATCAAGGCTCAAAGTCAGCCCTGGTAGGAAAGGCCCTCAGACTCTTATCTCCAATTAACTCCAGAAAAACAGAAGCGGTGCTGTGGCTCTAAGTTGTAGAGTGCTAGCCTTGAACAAAAAAGCTCAGGGACAGTGCCCAGGCCCAGAGTTCAAGCCCTATGATCCACAAAAATAATTTTAAAAAATAAAACTCAAGTAGACATAAACTCCAGGGATTTAAAATAAATCTAGCAAAGGGAGTACAATGGTACAAGGCTTGCTTTTAATAAACCCAGTCTGCATATGTGTTGGGTGGGAACTTTCAACAATGCACCCTGGAGAGGGACAGTCAGGTCAAGTTCAAGGGGAAAGTGAGACATGAATCCAGTCTGCGGCTCAGAAGCTCACAGGTGAAACATCAGAAGAAACTTTAGGATGGCAGAGACTCTCAGGCCGGTCACTGGGGCTTCACCGCTGACAGGACCGGGAAAGAGTCCACCAGAAAACATGCTGTGGTTACACACACAGGAAGCCAGACCATGGCCGTTTCCAATATCTGTTTCCAATCTCCTGTGCTCCCTCTGCACTGCAAGCCAGACAGAAAAGCACCAACCACTTCATGGTTTCCTCAGTCATCCAAATTGTAACCTTAGGCGACACCAGAGCCATCTTCTCTCATCCTCCTTGTTCTAAATGAGCTTCCAAGTCTTCTACATGACATTAAGAAGTAGAGTGGCGCCAGGTTCATGGTAAGCATGCCAACAGTATCAGCTGGATCTCTACCATGCCTCTTTCCCTTCTCCCTCTTTCTACCGACAGTCCCTGTTAAGGTCTGATGGCCTCTCCTGTGAATCCAGTAGTCTCTTATTTATCTGTTGTTTCGACTCTGCTCTTAGTTAACCTGCATTCAAAGGAATTTTTTACACAATTTTTCACCACTTGGTTTTTATGATTTGTGCTGCTTCTTGATCCATTTCATGGTGCAGGCAGACTGAACGACCCACCCGAGAAGCCTTCAATCTAAGAAAATGCTGGCACTGCAACACCTTGATCTTTCAAGCTATCTGTGCTTCCTGGCTGCCAGGAGGGGAGCAGCTCCTCCACCATGTGCTCCTGCTGGGTCATGTGACCTCTACCAGGCACTCCTACCATGTCACATGACCTCTACCATGCACTCCTACTGTGTCACATGACATCTACCATGGACTCCGCCATGTCACATGACCTCACCAAAACCCCATAAGCAATGGAACCACCCAACCATAAATCGAAACCTCTAAAACAACCTGTCCTCTCCTTGTTAACTCAGGTATTTTGTTACAATAAGAGAAAAGCAACTAACATAGACTACCCCTTAAAAGTGATTACTTCTTAGTGCTGGAAAAATACAAGAATAAATAAGGCTGGCTCACCGGATAATAATTTTTCATGGTGTGTGTGTGTGCGTGCGTGCGTGTGTACATGCGTGCGTGCATGTGCGTGTGTGTGTGTGTGTGTGTGTGTGTGTGTGTTGGAGCTCAAACTCAGAGCCTTACCCTCTCACTTGGTTTTTTTGCTCAAGGCTGGCACTCTACCACTTGAGTAACACACCCATTCCAGCTTTTTTTTCTGGTTAACTGGAGACAAGAATTTCATAGATGTTTTTGCCTGAGCCAACTTCGAACTGCAATCCTCACAGATCTCAGCTTTCAAAGTAATTAGGCTTATTACCATGAGCCACCAGCATCCAGCTGGATAAAGGGGGTTTTTTAATCACTAAACATGCTAAGATATTTATTATAAGTCCAATTAATATGGCATTTAAATAGTGTTCTAAAATAAATTTTTCAATTATGCAATATTTTCTCGAATATTTGTTGCTTCAAACAGCGATCTTAACTGATCCTTACAGATTCAGCTTCCAAACTACTGAACCACATATATGCCCATAAAAATCACGTGACTCTAGATAAGGTTCAGGGACCTTTGAGTTCAATCTTTCAGGAAGTCACAGCCATGCCCTACATTGACACAAAAAGGACAGTCAAAAGCCTCTTTTTCCTGCACGTGCTGGCATTAGTACTGTACGTCCCCATTCACTCAATGCAGTGTCACAGGGGCCTCGCTTCCTCCTGGAGCAGGGGAGTGGAGAAGCAAAGTGTCCATTCACTGGTTCCTGGAAGGATGGCTTCTTTTTCTGGGCCAAGAAGGATACTTACAGTTATCTTCTACATCTTTTTTGCTGTCCTCTTCTGCAGGGAACACTTGATTTATGAGAGCCAAAAATGTCTGGCAAACAAAACAAAAGCTCATTAAACTGGAGACTTGTTATAGTGAGAAAAATACAAGCGCTTAATTGGTTGCGTACATTGTAATAATGACAACAATATGTTCTTTTTTTTTTTTTTTTTTGGTCATGGGGCCTGAATGCTGTCCCTCAGCTCTTCAACTCAAGGCTAGTGCTCTACCACTTGAGCCACAGCGCCACTTCTGGGTTTTTCTGCTTATGTGGTGCATAAGGCAAGCACTCTACCACCTCCCCAGCCCCAATATGTTCTTTATTAACACATAATAGAGGTCCTACTACTTAACAAGGCATTAATCCAAAGCAGGATAATAACTTCAGTAAAAATACTATCTAAGCTGAGAGCTGTAATCCTAGCTACTCAGGAGGCTGAGATGTGGTTTAAAGCCAATCTGGGTACACTAGTCCTTGAGACACTTACCTCCAACTAAACATCAAAAGAGTCAGAAGTGGAACTGTGGCTCAAATGCTAGCCTGAGTGAAAAAGCAAGAGTATGAGACCCTGAGTTCAAGCCTCAGTACAGGAAGGGGAAAAAATATATTAAATTTGTTTGTAAATGTGCTAGTTAGCAAATGCTAAATTTTCAAAAAAAATTCGAGTGTATATAATAATTTCATTGTTTTTAAAACAAAAAGTAATATTCAGTAAGATAAAACAAAACAGACTATATATTATTATGTAAGTAATACATATTTGACACACATTCATGTATAAAAATGTGTCGTATAAAAAACAGTATCCACAAATATTTGGTCCATGAAATTACAAGTATCCACAAACTAGCATTTATTTGTCCCTTAAGTGCTAAGATCCCCTCTGCAAAACTGAGACAGTATCTTGTAAGAGAGAACAAATGATCTCAAATTACATCTAAAGAATTAAATTTTAATCTATGCTATTCTAACAGTTATTTATAAATTTATACCTCTAAATGCTTACAACTACTCTTGTGGTTGAAGTTTCCAACCCATATCAAGTAAAACTTCCAGGAAAAAATAGTTCCACTATTTTAAAATAATATTTGTAAGGTTGGGGACACACTAGAGTATTGGAGTAAATGTTTCGTATGTGCAAAGCCCTGGGCTTGATCTCTAGCACCAAAACAATAATAACAGTAATAATAATACTTCTCAGGTTTATACACATGTGTGTACTTACATATATGCACATATAAAATACATAAGATTATTGTATAAGACAAGAAGACTAGGCTGTCATTTTAATTTACAGTGTAAAATCCAAGTCATCCCCTACTTAAAAAGCAGTTATGCTCCAAAAGCTCCCCATAGTTCATCATTTTGTAAGCCTATACACTTGCTCTCTCAATATTATAAGTGTGGAAAAGTTTGGAGGATAGACCACAAAAAGTATATGAATGACCATGTGATTTTTTTTGTTGCTTTGTATATTCCACCCCCACGGTATAACCCTTGTTTTCACTATATTTGATGCTGGTATAATTTGGGGAGGGAGAGAGAAAAAACAAAGTGTTTAAATAGGAATACAAGACGCTATGGTGAAAAATGAACTTTACAATTTAGGCGGGGGGGTGGGGGCAGACACACAGGCAGGGGAGGGTAGGTGGGAGAAGGGGGAATGTAGTTGAGGAGGTGGGAGGGAGGGAAGGATGGTAGGGGAAAAACAAAGGAGGAGGCAACAATGCTTGATAAGAAATGTACTCATTGCCTTGCTCATGTAACTGTAACCCCTCTTACAGTATTTTCACAATAAAAAACTTATTTAAAAAAAAAAGTATATGAAGCCGGGCGCTGGTGGCTCACGCCTGTAATCCTAGCTACTCAGGAGGCTGAGATCTGAGGATTGAGGTTCAAAGCCAGCTCGGGCAGCAGAGACCATGAGACTCCTATCTCCAATTAACCACCAGAAAACCGGAAGTGGCGCTGTAGTTCAAGTGGTAGAGCGCACGCCTTGAGCTGAAGAGCTGAGGGACAGCGCCCAGGCCCAGAGTTCAAGCCCCATGACTGACCAAAAAAAGAAAAAAAAGAAAGAAGAAAAAGAAGGAAAAAAAAGTATATGAATGGTAAAGCAATCTGCACTTTATTGCAATGGTGCTACAGAAAAATTCACTCCAAAATAACTCCTAAAGTCATAGAACTGCACACTGCTTGCCACAGCCTGGGTACCCGGGCTAAAGCCAGGGCTGCTGGAACTATGCCAAGTAAAAAGATTGCAGGAAGTCAGAAGCTAAAGAATAAAAGGTGGAGGGGAAGGGGAGAGAAACGGTTGCTGAGATGAGAATGAGAGCATCGAGCTGAAACAAGCTCAGAAAGATATTTCTCTCTCTTCTTCACCCCCCAAATTATCAACCAGACCCACTGTCTTTCTCCCCACCAAGAACAGAATCTGTTCCATCAAATCCATTATTTCCTTTGAAAGGACACATTAACCACTCAGCACTGGACACAAACTGCATAGCAAATATAGTGCTCCAAACTCCAACAACAGAACAAATAAAATTGCTCCTGCCTTTCAGAGTACCTAGGAAGGAGGGGAAAGCAGGGCAGACAAATGAAGATTACCAGTCTCAAAGGAAAACATAATCAATACTTACTCCTCTATTTCAGGGGAGCAGGAGAAGGAGTATCCATGGAAACTTTTCAGAAGGGTGACCTCAATCGGTCTCAAAAGTAAACAGATACCGGCTAAGCAAAGAGCTATAAAGAGTGGCATTCCAGGAAAAGAGTGCGGTGGGCACTGAGGCAGCAATCCTCAAGCCCTTGGAGAAGGACGGGTGGAGGTGGAAACAAAAGAATAAGGCAGGACAGGAGGATGAAGGCCAGACTGTTGTAAGGGAAGACCAGCAAAGTCCACAGGAAGAAGAAAATGCAAGCCCTACGTGCCATCAACTTGGGGCTTCTGCCTGAAGGCCTGTCCATTGCAAATAGTTAAATGGTCAAGGCAGATCTGTTTGTGCTGTCTTGTGTATGTGTAACAGGGTTTTGCTCTGTAGGCCAGGCTGACCTGGAACTGGCTATGTAGTGACCCAGGTTGGCAACCAACTCGCGATGCTTCTGCCTCATCTTGCCAGTGCTAGCTGGGAGACCAGGCAGGCACTGCCATACCTGGCTTTAACACACCTTTTTTAACAGAACATCTATAGCCTGTGCTAGCAATGTTTCAGTGGTTAACTGTTTGGTTAGTGCATACATACATACCCAAACATATAAACAATACACACACTTGGTAAATCTATTTCTTCTGAGTTCAAACATACACAATCCACATACCTAATACAGTATCAAATCTATTACTATCACAAACATAAAACTTAACAGCCATTGCTACCAGGCCCTGGTGGTTCACACCTGCAATCCTAGCTACTCAGGAGTCTGAGATCTAAGGATTATGGTCCAAAGCCAGCCCAGGCAGAAGAGTCCATGAGACTCTTATCTCCAGTTAACCACCAAAAAGCCAGGAGTGGAGGTACTCATGTGGGAGAGCATCAGCCTTGAGAGAAAAAAGCCAAGTGAAATCATTCAAACCCCCATCCTGACATCAAAGAAAAAGAGAAAAAAAATTAAAAAGGAAAAAAAAACAATAACAAAAAGTACGGCTACCATCATAGCAGTGTTCTCAGAACAGCTGCCAGCTGCTCCCTGGCCTTCCTCTAGGCCAGTACGCCTGGATGTACCAGTACACCTGGTGAACCTGGGTGGTCCATCGCTTCATGCTCCTAACCTGTTAATATTTATAAGCTGACAGCCTCTTGACCTTGAACAGCGTAGGCAAAAACTTCTTGTACTTACAGATCTTTTTAAACTTGTGGTTATTATGACACTCAATCTATTATGACCTTGATCATAGAGAGGTAGGGGAGGACGAGGAAGAAGGAAGTATAAACAGAATCTCAGACTATGCTAATCCTCAAAAAAAGAGGGAAAATAATCTTTGGTGAAAATAAACGTGGATATGTTGAACTCAAGACTTTATAGAATTATCTAGAAAACAATAAGATCTGCACAACTCCAGAATTTAAAATGTGCTCATTCGTTCTACTATATAACTGATTCACACTAATGAAGCACAGCTCATAACACATTAAAATATTTAAAATATAAAAAAGCATGTCATCTTAGTTTAAGTTCCCTCGATGCTTAAATTCGGATCTACAATTTCTCATCTCACTTTGGCCTTTTGATTTACAGTTTATAAGACATACTAAAGAAAAACAAAAGCTTTCAGACACATAAAATAATGAGTCTTGGATGTTTTGTTTTAAACATGGACTGCACTGTTAAGTACAATTAATAAGAGGAAAAGCCCTGCCTTTCTTGCAGAAATGCCCGGTAAGAGCTGGCCGCCTCTAGCGCGGCACGCTATATATTATGCATTTCGGTTCCTGGGTTGTTTACAGTAACAGGATAGCATCTTCTCCGCCAAGACCTCAGGAGAGAGCCGCCCTGTTTTTCTAAGGTTCCCGGGAGGATGGCAGTCATGTGGCATTAGTTAACCGTGTATCAGTGGAGTATAAATTATTCATGAACGTTTGCAGAGTCTAAAGTAAACAGAAATGTCATCCACAAATTTAATTCAGCCAGAAGAAATGTTTAACAGAAATATTTGGCTAGCGGAAAATTGTGAGGCTTTCCCACAAAAAAAAAAAAAAAAAAAAGGCCTTACCAGTCCTCCTGCAGACTGAAAGAAAGGTGTGTTTACCACAGAGGCCTGCTCTGTAAGCAATTATCCACCTCCCAGTCACCTGTCCCCAAATTTTCCATTTTGTATCACTGTCTGGTCTATGTCTAAGCTATTATAAAAGGAAACAAATATGTTTGCAGAATTAAGGCATACTTTTACATTATCATCACAAAATTAGTAAGAAGGGAAGTCTTAAGACTTTAGTCTCTTCACTTAATAAAATATGTTTACCCAAATTCCATGTTAATAATTATTTTGTGTGCCAGCACCAGGATTTGAACTCAGGGCCTCGAGCTCTTGTTCAGCTTTCATTGCTCCCAGCTGGCACTCTACCACTTGAGCCACACCTCCAGTTCTGGCTTTTTACTGGTTAATTTAAGGTAAGTCTCACAGATTTGTCTGCCCAGGCTGGCTACACAACTCAATTCTCATAGCTCAGCCTCCCGAGTAGCTAGGATTATAGGCATGAGCCATTGGTGCCCAGCTCAATGCTAACTTCTTTTTTTTTTCTTTTTTTTTTGTAGATTTTTTTTATTGTGAAAATACTGTACAGAGGGGTTACAATTACATGGACAAGATAATGAGTACATTTCTTATCAAGCGTTGTAGCCTCTTCCTTTGTTTCCCCTTCCCATCCCTTCCCATCCTCCCCCCTCCACCCCTCCCCCACCAAAGTTGTAAAGTTTGTTTTCCACATAACAACTAGTACATCTCATTGTTGCAATGGGTCCATCAATGCTAACTTCTAATTAAGTAAAAAGCACTCTCCAAAAAAAACAAAGATGTAAAGGCAAAAAAACTCAATTTAGTAACAGACTCCTATTCATTTTTCATATTTTTTTACAATGTGCTGACTGCATCACAGACATACTAATAATAATTTCAGTAGTGTGGCATAAGCAATTAAAAAGTTAATAACTGTTTCCACTTTGTCCCTAAGTTCTTCAATGATGTGATTGTGAATGACCTACACCAACTTTCAGTCTCACTTTATCACTGGACCTCATTTTTCCCCTGGGATCTGAATTCTGACAATCACAGAGGTCAGCAGAAAACTGAGATTATCTTATTAGAAATTCATTTTTTCTTCACGATTGCAAGTGTTTCTGCTTCAATAAATAAGAAGAAAGACACCTGTCTCTTTGGATGGGGGAAAAATGCCTATTTTTGGAATCCATCACATTTTTAAGTCTCCCACGGAAACTCACCTTGCCCCTTTGGTTCAAAGGTTCGATGGTGAGGCTATCGGGGCCAATGTCCACGATGTTGCCCATCTGGAACCCATCAGTGGGGTGTGGCGCCCACACGGGCTTCCCATCTTCCATCTTTGAAGAGCGTCACCCACTTATTCCTGTGGACAAGGAGCCAAGGGAGCCCCGTGAGTAACTCGGGAAACAAGGAGCAAACAACTTAGGAAGTTTACAAGTAAATCACAACTCATCAAAACCTGCCTGTGCCTGGCAGCCAGGTAATCAGCTGCCTTCTCCCTCCCCGCCCCCTTGAGCCACCTCTGGAGAAGGCCAGGCAGACGGAGGCTACCACCATTTTGTTTCACCAGAACCAACTCTGCCACTGCCTGCTGTCCATCATGCCTATGAGGAGGACCACACTTGACCCCACATGGGGACAGACGTGTCACAGCACTTCCTGTTTACACTGTATCCTGGCTTGCACTGTAGGAAGAGATGCTATGTGAGACAGTTAGCTAGGAACTGAAAATGAGGTCATTTTGGATCTGATGAAACAAATATATCCATTTAACCAACACCTAGTCAATACACAAAACATTCCCCTTACCCCTCAAAGTTGTCTCCTATCTCCCTTTTAGTCCATCTTCATCCTTCCTATCCTTTTATTTTTCACTTGTTTCTAAATTTCATAAAAATGGTGCCATATATCATGTATGGTATTATGTATTCTTTTGTCTCTAGTTTCTGTGTGTGAGTGTGTGTGTGTGTGCTGGGACAGGGGCTTGAATTCAAGGCCTTGTGCTCTTGTTTGGTGTCTTCATTCAAGGCCAGTACTCTACCTTTTAAGACATATCTCTACTTTCGGCTTTTTGGTGATTAACTGAAGATAAGTCTCTTAGGCTTCTTGCCTGGACTGGCCTTGAACCTTAATCCTCAGATCTCAGCCTCCAGGTTAGTTAGGCTTACAGAAAGAACAAAACACTTTGATATTCAACCATACACTGTTCTAGGTACTAGCCCAATGAATGACCGCCTGACAACAGGTTACTGATTGATTTATGGAGAGACACTGTGAACTGCCTCTAGTTTTTGCTTATTGTTGATTTCAGTCTAGTTCTACAATTATTCTCTAAAGCTTCTTGACTTGTAATGCTGCATTTATAATTATAGCACGTATAATTCCACTGGTAAATTTAAAGCAGCCTGCGGACGTAACAGCCAGAGTCCTTTGTTTTAATGAGATTGTATGCTATGAGACTGACAGGTAACAGCGCCTCAGCTAGCAGGTCATCCCAGATCGCCAGCTTCCAGCTAAGTTCCAGTGGGAACTTAGTTTTTTCACTATTAACCTATACATAAAGATGAGTGTGCTCAGCACCCTAGTGGGCATCCTGTGGGGCTGGACTCTCCATCAAGAGAGTGGATGCTCACAGGGGCAGTCTCTTGTGAGGGTCAAGCTCAGTGAAGAAGGTGCCAGTGACTAGCATTCTCGCACGGTGCTTACCGCACCATTTTCTACTTAGAGGCCACAGGGTGGGGTGGGTGGCTTCCCCCAGGCCAGGGCTGCTGGCTTTGCCAGTAATTCAAGTCACCAAATGACACAAAGATTCTTCCCAGAATCTTGTGTTACAAGACATGACTGTGAACGCCTTCCCTAATCCTGGCTCATTCCCAGGCTCTAAATGCCATTTATCTTTAAGTTATACATAAATAGATTTCTCCAGCCCAGTCCCCCATTGAGTTCCTAGGCGTTTATTTACCTATTTGACACATCTTTGTGGGTGAGTATCAGATTAGCCATTTTATTGTAGGCTATTTATTTCTCTGTTCTATCATTCCCAACTTGTTCTTCCCCATATTGATGAAGGCAATGACAACATCCAGTTCACATCAAACCCGGAGTCCTCCTCAGTTCCTCCAGCTCCAAATCTTGTCAGCTTTCTCCCCAAAACCCACTTCCTCCATCAACTCTGGCATAAGCCAACATTATCCTTTACTAAGATTTCTGCAATTAACTTAGCTGCCTGCTTCCAGTACTGCCTGCTTCCAGGCCTGCCCCCCCAAGCAGGCCCGTCAACTTATTTCAAAGTAAATCTCATCATGTGATTCTGGCTCCACCAGACCATGGCTGTCCCCCATTGCCTCGAAGGGGGTGGGCACACGCTGGGAAAGAAGAAAGGGAAATGGGAGACTACTCTTAAAACCCAGACGAAACTCACTGCTACCATACTCAGACTGGCTCTCCAACGAGTTATTTAACCTCTCTGATCTTTATCTTTATCCTTATCCATATGGTGGATAATATCACTTACATTACAGAATTGCCAGGAGGATTAAGTGACATAAAACTGAGATCACCACTCTAAGGGCACCCAATCATTGCTCATCATGGTTCTTCCTCCTCCTCCTTCTGCTTCAAACTACTTATCAATTTTTCAAAACAATGGTCTTGTGATGGTTCTAAATAATTAGGACAGAACAGTTAGGAGTGATCACTCAGTCATGACTATCCTTCAAAGAGATGAAAAAAAATTAAAATGAAATCACCAAAGCAAAAACTTCCAAGTCCAAAACAGAACAGCAGCTTCAACTATTCTAAACTATTTCCTGTGGCTTTCCAGTTTCAATGAGAAAGTTAAAAAACATATACCAAATGCTATTCCCTCACCAAAGCCCTAAGTTCACAGCGAGAGAATTCACCAGCGAGAAAGCCCTAAATCCACAGCGAGAGAATTCATCAGCGAGAGAGTACATCACCACAAGGTTGGGCACAACCAAAGAGGAGACAATGGCTCCATTTTGAACAAAGCAAATAAACAGCTGAGAGACAATTGACTTAGCAAACTCAGAGAGCTGAACCCCCGATGAGGACTTGGGAAGGATGAAAAACAACTCAAATTTTTATAAAGCTACAGAATCCTCATAAGACACAAGGATGTCCAAGGTAAAACTAGGGTGAGGAAAAATATCTTAAATAAGGATGACTGGATGAAAACTGAGAAAGAGACTTTCTAGAACCAACAGACTCACTCCATACTGCCAGCCAAATGCACCAGGTTCTCCCCTGGCCAGGAGAAGTTTAGAAGTTGTTGTCTGGACTGAGAATCGTCAGGAACAATAAAGGTTGTACACATGAACCTACCACACTTCTCCTAAGATTCCCACCTGGACAGATCTTCATCACCTGGTTATAGCAAGAATCCTTCTGAGTCTCTTGAGGGAGAATTCTTCACCCTAGATATTTGATTAGATTTCTTCTCCCCCATATTTGAGGAAAATGGCCTTGATCTGCCTCAGCAAGAATCCTGTTAAGTCAGTTTAGCAAAATTCTTCATGACTCCTTGTAGCAATTTCCATCTGCTCACCCCCTACACTGTCATTTAACTAAAAATCCCCCCACTATCTTCTTTGCATTCAAAGGTGAGCCCCAGCTGTCCCTACTGCGATATCCCTTGTCATAAACCGAATGTGTGTGACCAGATCAGTATAACTCCACAGATGCATGTGCGGAAGCCTTAACCCGCCATGTCTCTGTATTTGGAGGTGAAACTATTAGGAGGGAGAGTATGACTAAGGTCAGAAAGGTAGGGTTCTAGTCAGAGAGGGATTTGTTTTTTATGTGTATTTTTTTAGGGAAAGGGGTGTGTATATGTGTGTGCTGGTCCCGGGGCTTGAACTCAGGGCCTGAGTGCTGTCCCTGAGCTTTTCTGTGCTCAAGGATAGTGTACTACCACTTGAGCCACAGCTCCATTCCCTGCTTTTCGGTGCTTAGAAATCAAGAATCTCATGTACTTTCCTCCCCAGACTACCTTCAAACCATAATCTTCAGGTCTCAGCCTCCTAAGTGGTTAATATTTCAATGTAATACTCATTAGAAGGTATAAAAGATAAAATTGAGGTACTCTTTCAGAAAGAAAAAAGGAATGACAAAGAAAAGATATGAAATAAATAAAAGTATGCAAGAGGGATAAAAATAAAAAACCTCCAGCCCCCTAAGATAGAAAGGTTATAAAATATCCAGGCCGGGCGCCGGTGGCTCACGCCTATAATCCTAGCTACTCAGGAGGCTGAGATCTGAGGATCACGGTTCAAAGCCAGCCCGGGCAGGAAAGTCAGTGAGACTCCTATCTCCAATAAACCACCAGAAAACCGGAAGTGGCGCTGTAGCTCAAGTGGTAGAGCGCTCGCCTTGAGCTGAAGGGCTGAGGGACAGCGCCCAGGCCCAGAGTTCAAGCCCCACGACCGACAAAAATAAAAAAAAAAAGAAAGGTTATAAAATATCCAAGAAAAGTATGGGTTTCTAGAATCTAGCCAAAATATATTCACTGAGTCGTTAACGAAATAACTGGAAAACAAGACACACATAAACAGATACCCCTGGTTGAATTTCCAGACACTGAAAATAAAGGAAGGAAGCTAATCATTTTCAGAGAAGGGACCAAAGAACAAGTGACTTCCAAGAGACCACAAATTAAATGGGCTGAGCGACACTCAAAGCAGTGAGTCAGTGAAGCTATGCTTTTACAATTCTGAAGGAAATGTAGTTACAACCTAGAACTCTACTTCAGCAAACTGGAGTCCAGACTGAGCAATGTGCCCCAAGCATCAGCCACACAACGCAGGCATCCAAGGCTCCATGTACCTACACACAAATAAAACTGTGAAGCATCATGGGATACGCAGGGGCGGTGTTACAATTCCCTTTCCATGGGGAGGGTAGGCGTGGGGATGGGATGAGGGGGAACCATGGAAGGGGTGATTCTGATCAAGCTGCATATACATATGTCAAAATGAAGCAACTGGCTGAGAATGTGGCTTAGTGGTAGAGTGCTTGCCTAGCATGCATGAAGCCCTGGGTTCAAGTCCTCTGTACCACATACACAGAAAAAGCCAGAAATGGTGCTGTGGCTTAAGTGGTAGAATGCTAGCCTTGAGCAGAGAGGCTCAAGGACAGTACTCAAGGCCTTAGTTCAGCCCCAGGACCAGCAAACACACACACACACACACACACACACACACATGTAAACTATCTGAAGATAACAAAAAAATATACAACTATGTGAAAATAATGAAAAAAGAATAAAAAGGAGGAAGAAAGAAAGAAAGTATTAAGAACAAAATAAGGAAAGAAAAAAAAAGAAAGAAGAATGGGCCAG